TGCTATGGTCAGCTGCAAAGCTGGCACCAGGGACACATCACGGTTGACGTTCCTGTGTAGAATGGGGCTAGCCCAACCTAAGTGATATAATGTATTGGCCTGTTGGGTTCAGGGGCTTTCATCCTTCAGCTGCCTGCGTGCAGGTTGGGGGGTGCAAGATACCTGAATACCTAACACTACTCATGGTTAATGTCTATCAGTCCTGGACCAACTTATTCATATATGCCATTGACCTCAGTTGTTGTTGTTCAAAAGTGATTTAAAACACATCGATGAAACACACCGTGGCACTGGGTGATATATTTCTTCATTAGCAAACCCCAAACCTTAGTGTGAGGTACTAGCAGAAAGTAAACAAAGCTGAGAGCTTGTGCAAGATCTCACACATGCAGAGTCGACTGACTCGTTGCCTTTGGGGCAACATAACTGGGTCTGGAATTTCATAATGAAAAAACGTGTCACCCAGTACATTGTGTGTTTCCCTAATGCGTTTGCAATCATTTTGGAACAACAATGAAGATTTATCACACAGATAAACAAGCTAATCCAGGGCTGACAGACATCAACCACGAGTAGAGGCAAATCCTTGTTAGTTTTGGTCTCTGTATCGAGATTGCTGGAAATACTACCAATAGAGAAAAGGACTGGTGTCATTGTTTAAAGAGAGCTACCACGTTTATACCAACTGTGATGTTGTACAGTTGCACTAATGAACATGATTCAACTTGACACCTTCAATAAAATTTTTATTGAAAAAAGTACCAATAAACAAGAAATCCAGAAAAAAAAGAGTTTGTAGAGCAAAGCTCTGTATGTACAGCATATTGCACTACATAACAAATTGTCTTTACTTCTATAGCATATCAACAACCAAAAATATATATAAACACAAAAATGAGTGCACAGTAGAGTCTCGAAAACACACAGTCAATGTTTACAAAAATGCTACATTTTCGCTGGGTCTCATTTCTTGTTATACAGAGAGTGTGTGATAATCAAGACTTTGTAAAACTGAGCAGTTAAAGGCAAGATCAAGATCAAAGAGTTTTATTGTCAAGTCACTATATGTGCAGGACATACAGAAAATCAAAATACCGTTTATCTCTCACCTAGTAATGAATGCCACCCCATTTAGGGAACTAAAACTGAATAAAAGTAGAGTAAAAATAGACTAAAAAGAATAAGAAAACTAAGTCAAAGTGATTAGGATAAAACTAAATGGTACAACCTAATACGCTATGACTCAAACCATATACAATCAGTGACAGTAGTGCAAATAGTAACAAGAAGATTGTCAGATGGTTGTGAGATTGAGATGCACATCGACAGGCATATCCCATGGTTTTAGAAATACTACATGTAGACTATCAGTTTTGTAAGAAAGGGCGGATATTTTGTGATCCAAAATAACCACAACCATGAAAAAATTTGTGAGATGTGCAAGGAATGTTGCAAGTTCACCTTTTATTAACAAAATGCCATTGATCTTATGGACTTTAAAAAGGATCCTACATTAAAAATTATTTTAGAAGCGTGAACTGTTCATATAAGCAGACCTTTTGTCCTAAGAAAATACATTTTAAAAAAAGTGACGAAAGACCATGAAGAAGAAATGTTATTTTAAAAAGTTCAAAATCAAAACCTTCCTCAAAAACTTCTAATTTATATAAAGTGGACTACCAAATCAAGGACACTGATGGTTGCAACAAAATACATGTCCCACTATAGGGACTCACCACACTCACACACACAGTATAATGTAATGAGTGAACCAGTGAATGAATCTCATTCTAACAACAGGGGCAACTGTGGTTCAGCTTTGGTTCAGTGGGTAGAGCAGTTGTCTTCCAACCAGAAGGTTGGAGGTTCAAATCACGGTGCCTGCAGTCCACATGTCAAAGTGTCCTTGGGCAAGACACTGAACCCCCCCCCGATTATTATTATCATTTTATTATGTAGGGCACCATGGTGGCTTGTCTCCCTTTCCAATAAAACAAACAGGCCACTGTTTGGTCAATGCAGAGATACACGGCTGACACATGGCAAGTTTAGCCCAAGAGAACAATCCAGAGTATATACTATACATCAACACAAAATACATACAGGACCCACGGGATCTACAGAGACAAAGTATTTTCCAGTGCATGTTGATTAGAACACGATCGAGATTAAAGAATTGAATTCGTACACCATCTCCCTGTCGCTTGAGAAAAATATGAAACATCCTTTCCATGGATGTTTTGAAATATTTCTAAAGGCATCTATGTCATTAGCAATGGGTGTGGTGGGTGATGACTCTTACTCAAAAGGGAAAGGTCACATCTGGTTGAAAGGTTAAACTGCAGTAAGCTAATGCTTTTCTTAACCCCATACTGTACATACAGTATGCCATGACAGCTTGTGGTGGAAGATAATGAAAAAGGTCTGAATTTGTTGACCCCATCTGTGGAAAAGCACAATCTTTAAGTGAAATACTCCAAACTATATTGAGTACAACTCCCTATAACACTGTAAGCTTGAGAGGTAACTTAAGATATTGGTTGTTTTCTTTGTCATGAGGAGCAGCAGCTGTGGTCATTGTAAATGCATTTTCGTTACTGTGTTTTCTAGGGATGGGACAACATATATAAAAAAAAAACATCACAATACAAAAACATCACAAAATGTATTGATTTGTCTAGCGATGTATATATATATATATCATGTGGTGTCCATACAACAGCGGCTTCATATTTTTTGTAATGGTAGAGAAAATAAGTCAACATATCCGGTTGTTCTATACATTATCAAACCAGTGCTAAAAAAGGGGAGAAAAGAGGAACAAATAGCTGTATTCCACAGCTATTCACACATTGTTGTCATTAGGCTTTTAAATGTACGGTGACTGAACCAAATTGTACTCACCATATTGTGCACTGAATCATATAAAGAAAAAGTCCTAGCATCCAATCCCTAGTGTTTTCCATTAGTAAAAAATATGAATTTAGAGTGGCTATAGCTGCTGGTCTTTGTGGGAAAAACAAACTTCTTACAGCACTCCCATTTCAAACCTATTCATGCTTTGTGATACTAAAGAATATTTTGTGTTGAATATCATTAGAAGCAATGTCAGGTGCAATGCAAACCAACTGGCTCTGTACAGAGTCGAACAGCTGAAGCCTACATAAGTCCAAGACCAAAACAAAATAGGGAAATAAGAAGGAATTGCACACACGAGTGTATACAGTAGATAGGGGCAAATATACAAAAAATAAATAAGAAGGAAAAAATAAATTACAAAACAAAACAAAACAAAAAAAATCAATAAATGATACCCATGTAATGAAGGAGCAGCACAAAGAGGAAGTCAGGAGCCAATGGTGAGACAAGGCACTACAGGGACTGGCTCAGCGTTCACGATCCGCAGGAAACTATAACCACAACCACAGTCAGTGCACCTCACAGGCCTACTCACTACATGCTCTGTAGCCCCCGTCGCCACCACAGTCAGCACGTCCGCCTCAGACTACTCAGTCAAACTGTACCTATACTCTATGTGTGTGCTGAGAAACTAGTCAAAAGGCCATTTTAACTGAAATGAAAACAAGAGACATGACAATAAGCAGGTGAAAACTGCTATTCTTCCAGCCATCTAATAGATACTCAAGGTTACCAGTAGTCTAGAAAGTCTGTCCCTGAGAAGTCTTTAAGAAAGAGAGGAAACCCTAACTCTGTGGTGAAAAGCCTGGAAGGAGCAGGTAATTACAGACCCCTGATATGTACTGTTCCTTGGGTCAAAACATTGGCCTGGGTTCAGCAATGAAACAGGCAACAAACAGCATCTTCGACAGTGTCTTCGAACATATATTTCAACAATTCTTTTTCCTATTTGCTTCATTTCAGCAACTGTTAGTCTGCTGAGTCAGCAGTGGATAATAAAATGTCCCAAATCTGGATCTGAGCACCAAAGATCAAAAATATGTAACACCCCATAAAGGTAGCCTGAGAGGAAGAGATTCTGTTTCATAGACTGTTTGGTGTTCAGAACACACACAAGCTGTGAAAAGCAAACCAGGACTTAGAAATCTTTCAGTCGAGACATGTGGCTCCATTGTAACTCTACTGTAGCCTGAAACACTGGTACATTAAATTTCTAGAACCTCATATCCAATCCAGGTTCTGGACTGTGTTTAGTCATTTCTCAACATTGACTATTTGTCTTGGACATGAGAATGAGTACAACTGAAATGTTGTGGCAAGGAAACAAGTCGTAACTGAAAACCTTCATACAAGACAGGAGTTAGCTTGGTCATGATCTGAACTCTCAAAGGCTGTAAGTTTAGTGCAAAAACTGTGGATCCACAGCTCCACTTCAAGGGCATGGAGGTCCAAAAACAATCACATAAAAAGAACACGTTTAAAATGAAGGAAAAACTTCTATCAGAGAATGAAAGAGGAAACAGAGCCAAGCTGAAAACTGAGTATCTGGTGAAATTAGTATGAAAGTCATAATGGCAGACTTGGCCAAACGGCTTTGTTATTGTTGGAAGAAAAGAACATGTTACTTTGCTATAGCAAATAATGTGCTTGACTCTAAAGTTATAATTTAGTGCACAGTGCTGGACCATCAGAAGTTCTCTCTGTGCATGCAAAAGTCAAGTCAGCACCCCATAAATTTAATCCAAATATCTGTTCAGTGTGCTACATCTCAAACATGATTTAGCCACCCACAGGTAATCAAGATGGCCACTGCATGGCAGATGAACAAATACCCCTTAAGACAACTGAATCACTGTTGTCTGATTACTACAGGAATAGAATGGCAACATAGAATAATACTGTTGTAATCTAAACTGGTATATGGCAAAGAAAGCTCATAAGAACATTTTCAATGAGGTGATTTTGTTTTTCAGACAACTGGGGGAAACCATGTGATGATTTTACAATATCGATTAATTCATTTACTTTTAAATCAGCAGTCACCAGGCTTATTTAACCAATTTGTCTAGCGATGTATATATATATATATATCATGTGGTGTCCATACAACAGCGGCTTCATATTTTTTGTAATGGTAGAGAAAATAAGTCAACATATCCGGTTGTTCTATACATTATCAAACCAGTGCTAAAAAAGGGGAGAAAAGAGGAACAAATAGCTGTATTCCACAGCTATTCACACATTGTTGTCATTAGGCTTTTAAATGTACGGTGACTGAACCAAATTGTACTCACCATATTGTGCACTGAATCATATAAAGAAAAAGTCCTAGCATCCAATCCCTAGTGTTTTCCATTAGTAAAAAATATGAATTTAGAGTGGCTATAGCTGCTGGTCTTTGTGGGAAAAACAAACTTCTTACAGCACTCCCATTTCAAACCTATTCATGCTTTGTGATACTAAAGAATATTTTGTGTTGAATATCATTAGAAGCAATGTCAGGTGCAATGCAAACCAACTGGCTCTGTACAGAGTCGAACAGCTGAAGCCTACATAAGTCCAAGACCAAAACAAAATAGGGAAATAAGAAGGAATTGCACACACGAGTGTATACAGTAGATAGGGGCAAATATACAAAAAATAAATAAGAAGGAAAAAATAAATTACAAAACAAAACAAAACAAAAAAAATCAATAAATGATACCCATGTAATGAAGGAGCAGCACAAAGAGGAAGTCAGGAGCCAATGGTGAGACAAGGCACTACAGGGACTGGCTCAGCGTTCACGATCCGCAGGAAACTATAACCACAACCACAGTCAGTGCACCTCACAGGCCTACTCACTACATGCTCTGTAGCCCCCGTCGCCACCACAGTCAGCACGTCCGCCTCAGACTACTCAGTCAAACTGTACCTATACTCTATGTGTGTGCTGAGAAACTAGTCAAAAGGCCATTTTAACTGAAATGAAAACAAGAGACATGACAATAAGCAGGTGAAAACTGCTATTCTTCCAGCCATCTAATAGATACTCAAGGTTACCAGTAGTCTAGAAAGTCTGTCCCTGAGAAGTCTTTAAGAAAGAGAGGAAACCCTAACTCTGTGGTGAAAAGCCTGGAAGGAGCAGGTAATTACAGACCCCTGATATGTACTGTTCCTTGGGTCAAAACATTGGCCTGGGTTCAGCAATGAAACAGGCAACAAACAGCATCTTCGACAGTGTCTTCGAACATATATTTCAACAATTCTTTTTCCTATTTGCTTCATTTCAGCAACTGTTAGTCTGCTGAGTCAGCAGTGGATAATAAAATGTCCCAAATCTGGATCTGAGCACCAAAGATCAAAAATATGTAACACCCCATAAAGGTAGCCTGAGAGGAAGAGATTCTGTTTCATAGACTGTTTGGTGTTCAGAACACACACAAGCTGTGAAAAGCAAACCAGGACTTAGAAATCTTTCAGTCGAGACATGTGGCTCCATTGTAACTCTACTGTAGCCTGAAACACTGGTACATTAAATTTCTAGAACCTCATATCCAATCCAGGTTCTGGACTGTGTTTAGTCATTTCTCAACATTGACTATTTGTCTTGGACATGAGAATGAGTACAACTGAAATGTTGTGGCAAGGAAACAAGTCGTAACTGAAAACCTTCATACAAGACAGGAGTTAGCTTGGTCATGATCTGAACTCTCAAAGGCTGTAAGTTTAGTGCAAAAACTGTGGATCCACAGCTCCACTTCAAGGGCATGGAGGTCCAAAAACAATCACATAAAAAGAACACGTTTAAAATGAAGGAAAAACTTCTATCAGAGAATGAAAGAGGAAACAGAGCCAAGCTGAAAACTGAGTATCTGGTGAAATTAGTATGAAAGTCATAATGGCAGACTTGGCCAAACGGCTTTGTTATTGTTGGAAGAAAAGAACATGTTACTTTGCTATAGCAAATAATGTGCTTGACTCTAAAGTTATAATTTAGTGCACAGTGCTGGACCATCAGAAGTTCTCTCTGTGCATGCAAAAGTCAAGTCAGCACCCCATAAATTTAATCCAAATATCTGTTCAGTGTGCTACATCTCAAACATGATTTAGCCACCCACAGGTAATCAAGATGGCCACTGCATGGCAGATGAACAAATACCCCTTAAGACAACTGAATCACTGTTGTCTGATTACTACAGGAATAGAATGGCAACATAGAATAATACTGTTGTAATCTAAACTGGTATATGGCAAAGAAAGCTCATAAGAACATTTTCAATGAGGTGATTTTGTTTTTCAGACAACTGGGGGAAACCATGTGATGATTTTACAATATCGATTAATTCATTTACTTTTAAATCAGCAGTCACCAGGCTTATTTAACCAGAAGGTGGCATTCAGTACTAAAAACTCTACCTCAATAGTTCCTGAACCATCACAAAGTCCCACCTGTTTGACATGTAGCACATAACTGAAGAAAGGCTCACCTTATCTGTGCATATTCAAAGATACAGTATTTAGATCGCATTATCTGTGTGCAAATGTGTTTGTGTGCAGAAACCTTCTGTTGTTCCCAAGAGTTTGAACAATACTGAGAAATCATGTTCAAGATCAAAAACATAAAGAAAACCGATAGATAGATGGATAAATGTCTATCTGAGATGAAGTGCAAAAGGTTTTGTTCTGAAAAGTTGCCTCTTTGAAAAATTAGTAAAATGACTTGACTGGTTACCTGGAAAACTTCAGAAAAGAAAACCTCACACCTAAGCATCTCATCTTGACTGCCAAAACTGCTCAATAATCATTCTGACAGAAGACACCGAATAAGGCATTCCCAGGGTCTGTGGAGGTCATTAAAGGCAGATGTATGCTCACGTGCAAACAACTGAACAAGAACAATGTACTGTACAAAACTACTACACTGCACATATACCAAAATGTGAACACTGTCCTGTAGAGGGATCTCAAAACATCATGGCATCTTTTTGGAAAGGAAACCCCCCGGCCCCAAAAAAACCACACGACCTTGTATAAAAGTTGGTTGTCTCCGTCCCGCGGTGACCTTTTGCCTCCTTTTCGCGCCCCTTCCCCAGACCCATGTTAGATTTGACAGTGCCTTTATGAGTCCAGTTCCTCAGGTAGAAGAATTAAAAAAAATTGATGGGAGGGGATGACCGTCTCACCTCCGTCCCGCTCCGCCTCCTCCAGCAATGAACCCCCTATCAAACAGAAGGCTGAGCAGAGTTGTGGCCAGGCGCCACCACAGCGGCCCCTGGTTCCTTTGGTTTCGATGATACTGAAACAACAAAGATGGAGCATACACCAGTTAGTGCACTCTACTGAAACTCAATCACAAAGTGTAGTGCTAGAAATAGTCATTTGCTTGGGCTTTCAGGGTGAGGGTTAGTTTGTGTTGGCTGTAGTGTATGCTGATTTGACAATGAACAGGGTCAGCTGAGAAGAGGGTAAGACAGAACCAGACACCAGAACGATGCTGGGATTTTCACAGCAGTCTGCTGCTGTCCCTAACACTTATTCAAGAGGCTTCTCTCTGTGTGCAGGATCCTGAGACAATCTGGGCTTCCCAACAGACATTCCAAGTCATAAACACATTCATCGTACGCTCACACTTTTTTAAAAATCTTTCTGGCAGAGACCAGCAGCTGGTGGCACAGTAGGAGACTTGCAGGTTTGCGAGCCAATTGGATTGTGTGTGATTAGGGGGGATAATGCTATCTTTGCCATTGAGAAGCTGAGATAAGATAAATGCACCAAATGGGATTAGGGACTCTTGATGATAGATGGGGAGCCTCTGGAAACCACATATCTGCATGAGAGATGTACAGTAGGCCAAGAGCTCCTCTGCAAATAAAAGGCAGACTCCACCTTACTTTTACCAGAGAAGAACTGTTAAATATTGGACAACTCACATCAAACTACCTTCCTCCAATTTTTGTGAATGAAGAATGCTGTATGGGCATTCTGATCGGAGGCACAGCAGCGATATACGGGACCTGGAAAAAACCCCGCCGGCATGGAAAACGCGCTGGCGCTTTGGTGCAGTTACGACAGAGGGGAACATGGACCTCACTCCCATCTATTCACCTGGCTAATCTCCGCTCCCTGGTCAACAAAATGGATGAAATTCTTCTTGTCAACAGGACTAACTTTGACTTTGCACACTCTGCTGCTTTATGCTTCATGGAGGCCTGGCTCAGCGACTCGATCGCGGACAGCACGATTCGAATACTGGGTTTCCAGGTGTTCAGAGCGGATCGTGTAAAGGAGCTGTTTGGGAAAACGAGAGGAGGTGGAATCTGCTTCTACATAAATGAAGGTTGGTGCACAGATGTCACAGTGCTACAGAGGACATGCACCTAGAGACTCTTGTTATCAACTGCAAACCCTTTTACTCTCCCTGTGAATTCAACAGTTTCATGCTAATGGGAGTGTACATAACACCGCAGGCTAACGCTAGCGCACTACGGCTCCTAGCAAAACCTAATAACTAGCCTGGAGCTAGAACATCCCCACTCTCCACTCATTTTTCTAGGGGACTTTAACAGAGCAAATCTCACCCACGAACTGCCCAAATACAGACAGCACGTCACCTGTCCCACCAGGGACAAAGTCACGCTGGACCACTGCTACACAACAATAAAAGACACCTATCACTCTGTCCCTCGTGCAGCCCTCAGACTCTCAGATCACGGTATGGTCCATCTTATTCCAACCTACAGGCAGAAACTAAAAGCTGTGAAGCCTGTAGTCAAAACAGTGAAGAGCTGGACTGAGGAGGCTAATTCAGAGCTACATGCCTGCTTTGACTGCACAGACTGGAGTGTATTTGAGACTACAGCTACAGACCTTGATGAACTCACTGTCACATCTTATATCAGCTTCTGTGAGGATGTGTGTGTGCCCAAAAAGACCTTCTGCACATACAACAACAACAACAACAAGCCCTGGTTTACAGCAAGACTCAAGCAGCTTCGTCGTGCCAAATAGGAGGCTTACAGAAGTGGGGACAGGACTCTGTACAGCCAGGCCAGGAACACACTGACAAGGAAGATCAGAGCAGCAAAGAGGAGCTACTCTGGAAAGCTGAAAGCTCAGGTTTCAGCCAACGACACCTCGTCTGTGTGGGGGAGCCTAAAAACCATCACTGGTTATAGGAAACCATCCCCCCCGCTGAGGAGGACCGTCAACTAGCAGACAACCTGAATGTGTTCTACTGCAGGTTCGACAAATAACACTCCCACCTCACCCTCCCACCACAGATCCAGCAGCTGCTCCCCCGACAATCACCACCCTTCCCTCCAGCCCCCCCACCTCTAACGATCTGTGAAAAGGATGTGCGTGGCCTCTTTAAAAGACAAAAGATCAGAAAGGCTCCAGGCCCAGATGGTGTGACTCTCTCCTGCTTGAAAGTGTGTGCTGATCAGCTGGCCCCCATCTTCACACTCATCTTCAACAGGGCACTGGAGCTGTGTGAAGTCCCCTCCTGCTTCAAATGCACCACCATCATTCCAGTCCCCAAGAAACCCCCCATGAGTGGACTGAATGACCACAGACCTGTCCCCCTGACATCTGTAGTTATGAAGTCCTTTGAAAGACTGGTGTTGGCCCACCTGAAGGACATCGTGGACCCCCTATTAGACCCCCTGCAGTTTGCCTACTGGGCAAACAGGTCAGTGGACCATGCAGTGAACATGGCACTGTGTTGCATCCTGCAACACCTCGACTCCCCAGG